ACTATGAGAATAAGTCAAGAATGATTTCTACTTCTGGGTCATGAAAAGCTCTGTAAAATAATGATTCATTTACTGAGCTGGAAATGACTAGAAAGAGAAGAAGATTCTATCCTCAGCTTAGGTTTGGTATTTTTCCTTTTTTTTTTTTTTAAATGACATATAATTGACATATTATATTAGCTTTAGATATGCAACATAGTGATGTGATAATCTGTATAGATTGCAAAATGATCATCACAGTATGTCCAATTACCATCCAAGTTTGATATATTCTTATTAGATCAGGCAAAAATGTCCAGTAGTCAGCTAGATGTGCAAAATACTGTTCCAGGCACTGGAGATACAACAGTCTATATTAGAGCCAAGGTGCAGTCTCATGGAAGCTATATCCCTCCACACAACGATTTACAGCAAGGTGAGAATCATTAGCATTAGGATGGATTTAAAACCCATATGATTAGGTAAGAATTCTTAAGGATTAGATGCAAATGGAGAAGAAAACACTAAGAATTGAGGCATAGGTTATCCCAAAACAGTTTTGAATTAGAAAGAGGTATTTGGGGGGGCTCCTGGGTCCTGGGATCGAGCCCCACAACGGGCTCTCTGCTCAGCGGGGAGCCTGCTTCCTCCTCTCTCTCTGCCTGCCTCTCTGCCTACTTGTGATCTCTGTCTGTCAAATATGTGAACTCTATCTGTCAAATAAACAAATAAATAAATCTTAAAAAAAAAAAAAAGAAATAGGTATTTGGGGTGAGTATACTAAACATCAGATACTATATTAGAGCTCTGTGATGGTATAACATACACTTAAAACATTGAAAGAATTGATGGGAATTCCCCCTTAAAAGACTTTACATAAACATTCATTCATGCTTTATTCAATAATTTTTTAAAAAGAAAATCAATATCAATATTAATGTATTAATTTAGATTGATAGGTCTATAGGTCTATACCTAGAAACACTGTAAGAAGCTAACAGTATTTTTCTTTAGAAATAAATCTACAAAGTGGCACTCTGTAAATTTCCATTGTCTGTTTGAACTCAGATCAGTAGACTTCCGTTTGCCTAACTGGTAAAAGACAGGATCTATGCTAAATAAGTTTGCATAAAGTTGTATAGTATTATAACTTTACAGATATATTTGGATATATCCAAGGGCAGAACATTATTAACGTTTCTCCTTTAAAGGCATATTTTCTAAATTGTTGTTCAAGAAACATATCTTCTCCACTCTTCAACTGTGTTTCTAATTCTTTCCACCATGGTCCCCCCCCCCAAAAAGGGGGGAGGAGAAGAAAGAAATGAAGGAGAAAGAGGAAGAGGAGGAAAAAGGGGAAGAGGAAGAGGAGGAGAAATAAGTAAAAGGGAAATTTTTTTTTCCCAAAACTCAAAAAACCAGATTGTACATCAGAAGTCAATGTGTCTTGTACAGACTGTGGGAACTCCTGAAGCAGCTATCACTAGACACACACCTCTCACATAGCTAAGTTCCCTTCATTACTACATACATATCCCAGTATATGCACTGTGCATCATAGCAATATTTTGATTGACAAAGATGCTATTTTATATAACTGCTCTGGGATGAGATAATCAGAACTGTTATTATTATTATTTTCTATAATCTTGACCTTTTTTCTTCCTTTAAGATATTCTTTTTTATGTTCTAAGGAATCCTTTTGGTTTATCGGTCCTCATGTTGCCTAGAATCAAAGGTTATTCAAACAAAGCCAACTGGAAGTGATATTACTACATAGTTGCAAGAACAAATTTCAGGTTACTTATACGCAATTTAAGTTCTGAAATGGACTACATATGGCTATGATAATGAGCCCATTACTAAAAGAAACACTTTAGCAAAATGTATAAACCTGTATGAGATTATACATCTACATTATGCACACACATTATTGTTATCTCCCCAAATATCATGTGGGCCATTTTCATTTAAGAATAGTTAAAAATTAAAGATAAGAACAGTATTCTCATTTTAAAAACATCTTTTCACAATTACTGCAAAATTACTAAATTGACACAATGCACAGGAAGTTGATGTAATTAAAAAGTATTGTAGTAATTTATTTTTAGTTCCCTGTAAATGACTGTAAAAACATAGTATCATCTGAAAATAAAGAAAATCTGGAGAACAAAAACTAAACTCAACATGTATTCTCCCATGGAACAATAAAGAAAAATATGCCTGTGCTTCATGAATCTGTATTAAATGAGAAAATCTTTATTTATATCCCAAATAGAAAAGTTTGTCTGTAGTTCCCAAGTAACTTAATGTTTATTCTCTACGGATTCCTACAGACATAAGATACTGAAAAAATCATAAATAATATTAGCACATATCTCCTAGGAGGAGGCAAAACTCCAACATTTTTCATATACTATAAAAATGCACATATAAATAACCCACCAAGCAAATTTCAATGCAAATCTATGTATCATTTGTCACTGAATAAAATTAATTTCTCTGTCTAGCACAAGGATAGTCAGTATATCTTTGAAATGGTACAAGCATCTCTAAATTTGAAATTCATGGGGAGAATAAGCACACACTTCTAAGAAGGATAATAAGTAAATAGAAATCATAGAATCCTGGAAGAGAAAGAGCTTAGAGATCCTACAAACCAACCCCCTCATTACATATGTGAACGCTCCGTCCCAGTGTTGAAATAGCCTAGAGGGCAGTGTTGTCTACATCCCAAATTTTCAACAATCCCCATGGAGAGGCTGTCATCATTCTGGAGTAAACCAAAGGCAGTCCAATGTCAAATGTATGCTTTATGCACTCATTCAGTAAGAGTCCACAGCTTCCATTGCTTTAGAAGTAGTAGATGCTAATACAAAAACTAGTTTCACGCACACACAAATTTACCATTCCCTTTTATTGGGCATTCTCACTACATTGCCATGAATTTCGCAGCACAATTTTGATTCAGACACAAACTTCCCCCTTATCCTATAATGCTAAATCAAAACAAAGGTCCTAGGTGTGTCTCTGGGGCAGGAGGGGTGAGATAGGGCAGGCGAGAAGGAAGAAGGGAGAGAGGAAAAGGAGGGAGGGAGTCAGGCTGGGAGGGAGAGAGAGAGGGAAGGAAAGATGATGTCTTTCTACTGCTGTTCCAGCAAGCTGGTTAATTGCATTTGTTTCATATATCTCCAAACACCCTGGTACATTAATTACATTCTGTAACACCAAGCTTTTCCGATTCCCTCTGTCACTTCCACTGAGCAATTTAATTGTATTCCTCTTAGCTACACACTAATTCAAAAAAAAAAGGAAAAGAAAGAAAAAAAGAAAAGAAAAGGAAAGAAAAAACAACTTGGTGATAATTCTGTAATATAATATATAATTTATACATGCATTCCCGGTATGAAAATATGTAAATTCATGGCTTATGAGGCTATAGTATCCAAAAAAGTTCTATCAAAGTCTTCTTATCATGATAATCAAACACACTTAGGAGAAATATGTAAGCCTTTTGGTTGGGGCAACGTAAATGTACTGTAAGGTAAATGTATTGTGGAAGAAAATGTATGGTGACTGATTAGGTATGACTATGGATATTGTCACAGTGTGAGTCACAGTGATTAATTCCTAAACATCTACTACTTAGAAGGGAAAAAGAAAAAGCAGTGTGCCCACATGAATGCTTTGCCTCCTATTGCTGGGGGAAAAGGTACTCCTGTAGTCCCTGATTGAAAACAGCCACGTGACAGTAGGTAAACTCATCTGTACTGCTTCATGTTTATAGAAAGTCTTCCTGTTTGTATCTTCCGATGGACTGGGTTCTGTTCAGCAGCAGCTGCTAGGAACAAAGTTAGCTCCTACAGGCGGGCAAAAATAGGCAGTGTCCCAAAAAAATGAATTCGTCCACAATGCAACCGCTGAAGGAAAGTTTATGTAGCAACAAGCTACTATGGTGGCTCAAATATTTGGACCGACACACGGATTCTTTACAAGTACAATAGTTACAGATCTAAAGTCCGACAATCCACATTCTCAGGAAAAACAAAAACAATAACAACATGCTCTACTCTTCTCTTTATACATAGTCTTTCCATTGATTTAAAAATTAAGGTCTCTAGAAGGTTAATACCAAATGTTCTTTCGACTTTCTTCTTATAAACAACAACAACAAAAAGCATGTTAATGATTATTTCCGCACATCATTCAAAAGAGCTACGTTTAAAAAAAAAAAAAAAAAAAAAGATTTTGCAATCCTCGCACCAGAAACTGACATCCTGTGAAAATATCCCAGGAAACCATAGCTGAACAAAAGACAGGAGAATCGGAGGTAGAATGCTATCTGCTTGACAGACTGACTCAACCTAGAGGGAGACACCTAGGGCGCCCGTTTCAGATCCCCATTGTGTTCACCACTGGGGACTGAGCTGAGTGTTCTGTGCCCACAGCCGGCCCAAAGCTTATGTTTCCCCCTTCCTGGAGCCTCGCCCAGTCTTACTTTTGACAGTTTTCTCCCTAGGATCTGAATCCTTGATTCTGATTTCACACTAGAAGAGCACTCAGCCACACACAAGTGACACCCATTGATCCCTGAGACATCCTGCCTCGAATTCCTAACCCACTGAACCTTCACTGAAGTGTCTATTACTATTTTTCTTCACTTGAATTTCTAAGCCAAAGTTCAGATACAGGAACAAACACCAAAAGGGAGTAGGCACAAGCGTATCTGAGAGATTTGCTTAAATATTCCTTATTCCAGCAAGACCGAGAGCCTATTATTTATGATCCAACTCCTCAATTAATTAAGTAAATTACAACAATAACAACAATAGGTGACTACTAACACGTTCCACCTGCAGCAGTTTGGAAACAAAGACTTAAAACCTCTGCCCCCCAGAAGCCCCCGTGCCTGTTCAAAAGGGACTAACAGACATAATGTCATTTTATTTATAGCCCACAAGGCACTCAGAAAGAAATGGTTTTGGGGGTGGGGGGAAAGGAGAAAAGTATTTTCAACTTACCGTCAACCCGAACGTATAAAAATCCACAGAGCAGTAGTTGTGTAAACATCAGCCGACTCATTTTGACATATTAAAAAGGATCCAGACTGTTTAAGAAACCAATCCCAGAGAGCAAAAGTACAAAAATAAGTATCAAAAAAAGAGGTAGGTCCAAAGTTTAGACTTTCCTAGATGCTAATTAAAGTCAGGAAGAGCAAATCGCCAAGATGAGAAGGGGTTAGTGGAGAGGTCTTGAATGGGGCACGTTTAGATTCATCCAAATTAACAGAGGGCACTCCAAAAGCTGCTGTATTTCCACCCTCTGGCTTCCTAAATTCCCACAAATTCAGCCCAGCCGGAGGGATTATTCAAGTGTGTCTAACCCTCTCTCCTCAGGCTCCATTGCCATCCAAAGCCAAGTTCTTTCTTCAGAAGTCAAGAAGATGAAGGGGGAGGAAAAAGACCTAATTCCTAGAAAGTGTTCCACAAACTTGCCAGCGCGCTGCCGAAAAACCATTGGCCTGCCTACGGGTGTTCTTTCCCCCGTCTCCTCCTCGGTAGCAGCTCCACGTCCAGAGTTATTTTATTATTATTATTTTTTTTTTTTTCACTTAACTTCCATAATAAGGATGTGTCAAAGCAACACTTTGCAGGCGGGCCGACTTGGCGGGCCTCTCTGTTGCAGCCTCGTTGCCTCCCGCCACCACCACTCCGGTTTCCGAAAGAGAGGCAAAGAGCAGTCAGGACGACCCGGGTGGAGAATCCGAACTCCTACGAGGTGGGGCTGCAGGGGAGGGAGGGAACGAGGGGCAGGGCTGAGGCAGCGGCCACCCCCGCCGTGCCGCCTCACGGAGGTGCCGGCGGCTGCGGGCGGCTGGCGAACCAGGCGAGCCGAGCCGTGAGCCGGGGAGCGGGCGCGGAAGGGAGCGCGCGGTGTAGCCGCCTGGCGCGGTCCGGCCGCCGGCCGGGGTCGCAGCCGCCGGTCCCTCCGCCGCAGCCACCGCCGCCGCCGCCGCTGCTCCCGCGGCCACGCAGCAGAGCGTCCGCCTCCTCCTGCAGCTGCCGAGAGTGGAAGGACTTAGAGGAGGGAAGGCGAGGAGGCGGGAGGGGTGGGGAGGAACGAAAGCTGCTCGGAGTCTGCCCCGGGGAGGGGGGCGGGGGTGAGGAGGGGGTGCGCTGAGCTTTCCACCTCCGGAGTCCGCCGCCCGCACGTGCAGGGGACGCCAGCCCGCTGGGCAGTCGGGGGGGCGGAGGGGAGGGGAGCCGAGACTCCTTGGGGGACGGAAATTAACAAATTTGGAGCCCGAGCCACCGGTCAACTCCTTCCCCCTCTCGGCGCCTCCTGATCCCGCCCCCGCCCCCCACCCTTCTTCCAGCCCTGGGAGGGGATAGGTGGGCTCTAGTCTCCTGCTCCTCGCGGCGTCCCGTTTAATGGGCAGGTAATTTTCTCGGTGAGTGATTTCATGGAAGCCCTTCCTAATTATTCATCCCTTCGTCTGCCCGAGATGCACGCGCTTTCTGGAAGAAGATCATCCTCCAGGACCCAGGGCGCAGCCTCATTACCCGTTAAAATCACACAAACACTCACTCTTCACCTTTTAGCAAAATGAGAAGCTGAGCGGGAGGGAGAAAAGGAAAGGAAACAAAATATAACCACCTTTTGGAGCGGAAAGGTTGTGTGTGGGTGCTTCCTAGGTCGTTAAAAAGGCACAAGAAAAAAAAAGGGGGGGTGTTGTACAGAAATCTCTAGCATCTAGGGGGCTCGTTTTAGCCAAGATGTATGGCCCCCTGAGGAATCCCGGGGAGAGGAGGGTGGTGAAGGGGTGGCATCCCCTCTTATGTTACTCAGTTGCCTTATGATCCCTCAAAGATGAGTTTGACGCGGGACTGTGGGATGGGTGCAAGGAGTTCGGGAGAAAATGCTTAGGTTGCGGAGAGGGGATCAGAGACTTGGGGGTGAGGGGTGCATGCGAACCCCTTATCCTACAGAGACTAGCACCTCTGAAAGGAAATTCGGAAAACACAGGATGGAGGAAAGCTGAAAACCCACCGAGCTAAAAGAAGCTCAAAAAGAGCCGAATTCCAGCCCAAAGATGACAAACCCTGAAAATAAAGGCAAAAACCACCAAGTGAATGCCATCGGGACCGGGGATGATTATGGAGAGCCACGTTAGATCAAAGGGATGCCAGTGTCTGCGGTGCCCCCGGTGTGGCCGGCGTGGCCAGGCCCACGTGTGATCACAGGCTCACTGGTAGCTGTTTGATGCTTGTTCCGGTGATTAGAAGGCGGGTTATGGGAACTCACGCAGGTCCCTGAGCCCTGCTAAATGTTGGATAGTGAGTCTTTAGTTCCCCCTACTGGAAAATATTAGGAACGAGGCCCTCCGTTTGAGGTGGCTGCAGGAAGAGCCTTTTGTTTGGTGGATATGTTTTGGTGTTGCCACTTAATTTAGCTCTCCCTTGGCTATTATGGAGGTGATATTGTGTGTTTCCCAAAAAAAAAAAAAAAGAGAGAGAGAGAGAGATAGACAACGACGCTTAAGCAATTAGGAGAGTTCTTACGGCATCTCAGCATGCTGGAAAATTATGGTGATGAAATAGTCTTGCAAAAGAATAAAACCACTTTTCTTGTGAAGCATTAAGAGTAATTTCAGCACACTTTTGATCTACATTATTTAGTTGTAAAATTTAAAAAGTGCATTAATGTGCTGAACTTAAATCACTTGAATCCTCACAGTAATGTTTCTGACCTGTGTTACTGTTTACCACTCTGTGAAAGTAAGACTAAACATGTTCTCGTGTTTTTTATTTTTGTTTTGTTTTTTTTTTCCCCCAAATGGCCAAATCTAAATTAATACCGTGGTCTGGGAAAAACCCCAAAATTCATTGGAGTAGCATCTCTCTTATCTATCTGTAATACTGAAAAATGACTGATAATTCTTTAAACATGTATTTTAAATGTTTGGACTAAGATTTCAAGTAAGGAACTATAAAGTCTACCTCATTCCTCTAAACAACGTACCCCCCTCAACACAAACACTCACAATCTCTATCTCAATCAAAGTTCCTTACATGTGTTCAATAAAAATACTCTGACACTAGAATCTTCCTAATAATGCAGGAATTAAAATATGGATTTTAAGCCCTTAAACTTCAACATAGATCTCAGAAAGGAAGATATTAGAACATTTTACCTGGAAGACTTTTCTCATGGCTATTAATTTATAGGACAAAAGATAGATTTCATTTTATACTTGATAGACCCACCATCTATAGATGCTTTTCCTTAAGTGATCTATAAAATCACTCAGAGGTGGAAAGGTTGTGTGTGGGAAGAAGGGGAGATAGGTTGGAGGAGAATGACCTACCATTTACTATTGTCCTCTAGGGCAGAAAAGTGTTGCTTCGTATCTTACAGAGAGTTGTCCTTCTGTAGAATATGACGAATGAACTCATGGGGAGAAAAGGCTTATTTAAAGGAAATCCCTGTGGTTATATTTCCTTGGCATTTTGAGCCAAGCATCATCATTTTGCATTCATAATACTTTTATCTACTGAAAATGGCAAAGAAAGCCAGTGATTTCTGTCTGGTGCCACTCTTTGCTAGATATTACCTACCTTATGTAGTAATGTCTATAACAAAGGAATTTTGGACTCCATGTTTTTGTGCTTTTCTCCAAGATAAGTTCATAAGTGATATTTTAAAAGAATGTATTGTCAGTACATTATTTGATATTAAATGTGACTCAGGAAAACTGATGTGTGTTTTTTTTTTTAAGAATCTCATACCAAAAAAAAAAAAAAAAAAAAAAAGAATCTCATACCAAGTGATGGTTTAAGATTATGAGCAAAACTCTTCCACTGTCAGCAACAGTGAGAGTCAGCAGACAGAAATGTAATACGGACAATGTTAAGTCCAAGTGGAACAAAGACATCTCCTTCTGGAAGATTTGATAAGATCCATATTAGAGAAATGTGTATATTTCAATTAAATTTAGCATACTTCTAGTGAGCACTGTGTAAAAAATTGATGTCTCACCCTATTTTTTTTTTCTTAAAGTAAAGGAAAATCTTTAAAACCTGAACACGTGACGAGAAGTTGGAAATTCAATTTTATCGGTGCTTTTGCTTCAAACACATTTTTTTAAGGTTTTCAGTAAGACAGAAAGCTAGAAATGACTTCAAACAATGAAGCCCCACCACCACTAAATCAGAGAGTGGAGGACACAGAAAATTAAGTGGCCTGTTGGTTTCAATATCTTTCCAAATTCGAATTGCTTTTTCTTCTCCAAACAAGCAGCTGAATAGAGAAATGTACATAGAGATCTAGGCTCCTTTTATGTAAAACTTGGAATGGTATTATTATGTACTCAAAATGTGCCTACCAGTTAAATATATATTTTAATACATCCAAAGACAACTGTGTGTAAGAGACTATAATTAACCCTAATTTGGGTAAGGTGATCAAATGGCCTTCTTTGTGATTGTACCTCTAAGTTGGCATTCATGGAGAACCATACAACACTCACCTGAAGGCAATCTGCACAATATAGGACGGAAAATAGTAAATATTTCTTTTTCATACCAGATTCTTCAAAAATGTGGTATAAATAGAAAAACTCCAATCCATTTTTTTCCCCACTCTTTCCAATACATGCTTGTTATGACTGAAAGAGAGTATATACAGGCAAATCAAAGGTTTGATCCAGGATGATAATTTCAGTGTCTGCCTCCACACAGTAAGCAGGTACTCTGTGTCCGGGATTTTTATAGTTTTTAAAAATTCGCCACAGTGTTTAATTCTTGGAAAAGTTTCATTATGTGGGTGATATCATTCCTATTGTGCAGATGAGAATACTGAAGATTAGATAACTCACCCAAGTTAATAAAAGGTGCAGTACTCCTTTGAATCCAGATATGACCACAGAATCGATGCTAAGTGTTAGGCTCTGTTTCCCAGGATTTATTGGAGATACCCTCCACATTATAGAAACACTTTAATAAATTGCTTTGATTGATAAATTTAAGAAAATCCCTGATGCACCAAAAATACAGAAATATATAATCAGTCTTTGTTTTCAAAATCGAAGAATTTTTTAAAGCCAAGAGATCACCAAGTGTTATCTGTTCAGTTTCAATTCTTCTGTATAAGATTGTCTTAGCATGCCATACAGAAACACCACGTTTGGATGAAAGGTATGGGTTGTAATCTACAAAAGGATAGTAGACAATTAAAATAACCAGAGTATTAAAAATCCAGATCAGAGAAGGATGAGTCATTCTGTCCTATGTTATTTTTTATTACCCTCCACCTTATTTCAAAAGTGATTTGAGGGAGCCAAAATAAATTATTTTTCTTCTGAAATATGTTCCAAGTATCTAATTTCAATTAATTCACTTTCAAGTATTCATCAATACTTTTACGTATATAGTAAGTTTGCCTACCTATGTATCTATCAATGATTCTCATACTTTGGGTACATTACCTGTAATTATTAAAATATTCTGTTTTTAGAAATCTGGAATTTAAGCTGACTAATATATAGCAATATTTCATAAAAATAACGTGTTTCT